TAATTTATCGAAGGCTGCTTAGACTGTTTCCGTCTTCTTAGTCTCTGTGTATTTTTTTTCGATTTTTTTTTCAAATAAAACTTCTCTAAATCGTTCATGACATTCAGTTTTTCCAAATATCAATTTTTCGATTTCATTGAAATTTTTTATCAAATAATAAGTTTCAGAATTGCAGTGCAATTTTGTTTTCAATATCGCGAAAAATCGAATCAAATATCAAATTTAGTCTAATTACTGATATAAAAGACTAATGTGTTCCAGTGTTAATTTAAATTAACCGGACACCACGAACAACAGTGCAAAACGCGTTTTTCTCAAATTGGATCAAAATTAAACAAAAAAAATGACAAGAACTAAAATTTCTTAGAGTTTCACCAGAGTTAATACGGTGCATTTTTTCAAAAATCTCAATCAAAAATTTATCGCAAAAATGCGTCACTTTGACTTCTTATAATAAATCAAAAATTACGCTGAAACTACCGGGTTGATTGATATTGAAGTTGTATCAAAAGAACCCTCTTACACAGCCCAACAAAATTTTACAAAGGCAAGACTTCCAAAAACCTGTAAAAGAGAGTATATTTTTGGGTTGATAGCCAAAAAAAGGTCATTTTTTACTTCATTAAAATAAAAATCTTTGCTTGAAAACAATTTTCAAAGGTTTTACGCAATTTTTTGATAGATTTACCGTCATGTGACTCCGTTGGGCTGTGCAAAGGGCTTCTATTTGAAAAAACTCTATCAGCAGTTAGCTTGGTAGTTGCAGCGCAATTCTTGATTTAATGAAAAAAGCGCCAAAATGACCTATTTTTGGGGTAAAATTTTTGCAAAAAGAAGTACCATATTAATTCTGGTGAAGTTCTAAGAAATTTTTATTCTGTTCATCTGTTTTTTCTGCTCCTAGAAGTTCTCATTAATCATGCGTTTATTACTAGTATCTATTTTCGAAAAAAAATCAATTTGAAAAACGAGCACAGCACTTCCAGGAAGCAAAAAATTGAAGCATCTAAGTTGATTGCCAGAATAAAATTTTTTGACTTCAAACGTATCTACTGAAATTCAATTTTTCAAAGTTTGGGGATAAAAATGCATCATAGTACTTGACACAAATTTTTCTACTCATGCTTTCATCTTCGATTTTTTAGAAAATTATATAAAAGTTTTAATCGTTTCAAAAGTTAATTAGTAGCATTTCTATCATGTAGTGTCAGTTTTCTGTTCACTTTATTGTAATTGTTTGATTGGAGATTATCCATAATCTTGACAGCGTAACGCAAATTAATTAAGCCTGGCAAATTATCCAGCACAACAAAATGATTTCAAATTGAATTAAGGCTAGCTAATCGGTCGTATTAATTTTGTACGACTCAAATATTCACACATGATTTTTGATATTTAAATTAATAGTTTTTCAATATTTTTTTTTCCCAAAAATTATTCGATATGATTACGGGGCAGTCAGAACAGTCAGGGCTTCGCCTTGATATACGAACAGTCTTGTTTTGAATTTCAAATGAAATGAGAAAGAAACAGATTATAATGTGAATTTAGGCCTACTAAAAACTATATAAAATAAAAGGAAAGTATAGACATTTTTCATTGGATTGAGAATATTAATTTTTCGCACATTGCTGAAAAATTAGCTGACTCCCTATCAAACCAACTTCATTACCGAGCAATAGTTCCCTGATTCCATGAGTTCCTCGAAGTACCTGATTGAATTAACTTTGAAACACCCTACCATACTATTCAACAACTCTGTCCCTTTTTTTTCAGCGCGGTCCTAATTAAAAATGTTACTTCAATTGATCTCGCAGTCTTGATCAAGCCATGCAAGTAAGGCAAACCTACAGTAACTGTTTTGTTTTTATTTTAATCACCACAGGTAATGAATATCATGGTTTATTATTTGTCTGTTGTCTTATTTAAATCTCAATAGTTTGCTTGAAAATGTGCTTGATAAATGACGACTGTTAAAAACAATGCCAATTTTATGTCCAAACAAATTTATTTTGGAGTTCATATTTTTCTCAAAGAAGTGGAAGTTGCTATTTTGTAATTCTTAATGCCGTAACGTTTTATTAAAAGACTTCAAATGGACCCTTCCAGCAGAATAGTTTTTTTGCCCTGAGTTATCTCCGGTGTGCTACCCGCATCGGTGCTCCATGGATAATCAACGATTAAAATGGAAAAATATTGTCTCAAATGTCAAATGTTGTCATTGTAATCCATTATTGCTGCAAATGCAGACCAGGGAATTGATTATCTGGTCATTAAATCTATTTTTTTTTTCGAAAAGTAAAAATCCATTCAAATCCTTTATAATCCATTCTTTTCTCCAAAATAATCAATTATTCATTATAATCCATTTTATTTCGCTTAGCAGGCTATTCTATTTTTAGTTCTAATTAGGCCTGGAAGAAAAAAAAAGCTAATTGAAGATGTAAATTATAAAATTTTCTTTAAAACATAAACAAATGTTCATCTTGTTCCAGTTCATCATCCATTATCTTTAAATGCTCATCCAATTGAAGACTTTACTCACTTGAAGACTTCTCCCATTTGAAGACTTCTCCCATAGCGGACCTCGGGTAGTATAGCCAGTGACCTCAGGGGGCATCGGGTAGACACACGTGGGGTACCCATACAGACAATTAGGGGCATACATACAGACATACGTGGGGGCACTCAAACAGACACACATGGGGGCACTCATACAGACACACGTGGGGGCACCCATAGAGACACACGTGGGGGTATTCATACATACACACGTGGGGGCACCCATACAGACACATGTGGGGGCACCCATACAGACACATGTGGGGGCACTCAAACTGACACACGTTGCGGCACCCATACAGTCACACGTGGGGGCACCCATACAGACACACGTGGGTTCACCCATGCAGACACACATGTGGGCACCCATAAAGACACAATTGGTGGGGGCACCCATACACACACATAGGGGCACACATACACACATGTGGGGGCACCCATATATACACACGTGGGGGCACCAGTATATACATACGGGGGGGGGGCACCCATATGGACACACATTTGGGCAACCATAAAGACACACGTGGGTGGGGCACCCATATAGACATACGTGGGTGGGGCACCCATATAGACACACGTAGGGGCACCCATAGACACACGAGGGGGCACCCACACAGACACACGTGGGGGCACCCATACAGTCACACGTGGGGGCACCCATACAGACACACGTGGGGGCACCCATACAGACACACGTGGGTTCACCCATACAGACACACATATGGGCACCCATAAAGACACAAGTGGTGGGGGCACCAATACAGACACACGAGAGGGCTCATACATTCCCACACAGACACACAGCCACTCATACATACCCACACAGACACACGTGAGTCACCCATACAGACACATGTGGGGGTATTCATACAGACACACGTGGGGGCACTCATACTGACACACGTTGGGGCACCCATACAGTCACACGTGGGGGCACCCATACAGACACACGTGGGTTCACCCATACAGACACACATGTGGGCACCCATAAAGACACACGTGGGTGGGGGCATCCATACACACACATAGGGGCACACATACACACATGTGGGGGCACCCATATATACACACGTGGGGGCACCAGTATATACATACGGGGGGGCACCCATATGGTTACACATTTGGGCAACCATAAAGACACACGCGGGTGGGGCACCCATATAGACACACGTAGGGGCACCCATAGACACACGAGGGGGCACCCACACAGACACACGTGGGGGCACCCATACAGTCACACGTGGGGGCACCCATACAGACACACGTGGGGGCACCCATACAGACACACGTGGGTTCACCCATACAGACACACATATGGGCACCCATAAAGACACAAGTGGTGGGGGCACCAATACAGACACACGCGAGGGCTCATACATTCCCACACAGACACACAGCCACTCATACATACCCACACAGACACACGTGAGTCACCCATACAGACACATGTGGGGGTATTCATACAGACACACGTGGGGGCACTCATACTGACACACGTTGGGGCACCCATACAGTCACACGTGGGGGCACCCATACAGACACACGTGGGTTCACCCATACAGACACACATGTGGGCACCCATAAAGACACACGTGGGTGGGGGCACCCATACACACACATAGGGGCACACATACACACATGTGGGGGCACCCATATATACACACGTGGGGGCACCAGTATATACATACGGGGGGCACCCATATGGACACACATTTGGGCAACCATAAAGACACACGTGGGTGGGGCACCCATATAGACACACGTAGGGGCACCCATAGACACACGAGGGGGCACCCACACAGACACACGTGGGGGCACTCATACTGATACACGTTGGGGCACCCATACAGACACACGTGGGGGCACCCATACAGACACACGTGGGTTCACCCATACAGACACACATATGGGCACCCATAAAGACACAAGTGGTGGGGGCACCAATACAGACACACGCGAGGGCTCATACATTCCCACACAGACACACAGCCACTCATACATACCCACACAGACACACGTGAGTCACCCATACAGACACAGGTGGGGGCACCCATAGAGACACACGAGGGGGTATTCATACAGACACACGTGGGGGCACTCATACTGACACACGTTGGGGCACCCATACAGTCACACGTGGGGGCACCCATACAGACACACGTGGGTTCACCCATACAAACACACATGTGGGCACCCATAAAGACACACGTGGGTGGGGGCACCCATACACACACATAGGGGCACACATACACACATGTGGGGGCACCCATATATACACACGTGGGGGCACCAGTAAATACATACGGGGGGGCACCCATATGGACACACATTTGGGCAACCATAAAGACACACGTGGGTGGGGCACCCATATAGACACACGTAGGGGCACCCATAGACACACGAGGGGGCACCCACACAGACACACGTGGGGGCACTCATACTGATACACGTTGGGGCACCCATACAGACACACGTGGGGGCACCCATACAGACACACGTGGGGGCACCCATACAGACACACGTGGGTTCACCCATACAGACACACATATGGGCACCCATAAAGACACAAGTGGTGGGGGCACCAATACAGACACATAGGGGCACACATACACACACGTTGGGGCACCCATACAGACGCACGAGGGTGCACCCATACAGACACACGTGGGTTCATCCATACAGACACACATGTGGGCACCCATAAAGACACACGTGGGTGGGGGCACCCATACAGACACATAGAGCACACATACACACATCTGGGGGCACCCACACAGACACATGTGGGGGCACCCATACAGACACACATTTGGGCACCCATAAAGACACACGTGGGTGGGGGCACCCATACAAACACACGTTGGGGCACCCATGAACACACGAGAGGGCACCCATACAAACACACGTGGGGCACCCTTACAAACCATTAAATAAGTTTTCACACATGATTTTTGATATTGAAATTAATAGTTCTTCAATATTTTCTTTTCCCAAAACACGTGGGTTCATCCATACAGCCACACATGTGGGCACCCATAACGACACACGTGGGTGGGGGCACCCATACAGACACATAGGGGCACACATACACACATGTGGGGGCACCCACACAGACACATGTGGGGGCACCCATACAGACACTCATTTGGGCACCCATAAAGACACACGTGGGTGGGGGCATCCATACAGTCACACGTGGGAGCACCCATACAGACACGTGGGTTCACCCATACAGACACACGTGGG